TTTGTTCATTAATTCAATGAACCTCTACGTTGGTTCAAAATCCATGACAAATTTCATTGATGGAATGTAAGAATTCATTTATGTTATGAAGCTTTTTTTTCAGTGTACAGACTTTTTGAAGACATACAACTTAAATTCGTCGTAACTATTCTGGATACCTTCATCAAGAAGCCTATATAAAGAAACATAAGATCTTCATAAGTGTGCTTTAGACAGAAGAACTGCAACAGGTCTTTTTCGATAATTCTTCGGTTGATTTATATCTTCGATATACCAAATATCTTACAGGGGTCTGATATAGATTATCTCCCATGGCAAATTTCTCTAAATGTACTTCAGGCTCTTTAACAGAAGCACCTAAATAATTTCAAGTGTTTGAGTTTGTGTTTGTTGTATTGCAAATGCTTCGGATTTTTTTTTCCTCTCCCTCTTGTTGTTGCAGGAAATTCATGTGTAACGATGCGCATATTGATTGTGATGCGCGATTTGATTTATTCCGACCAACATCATTCGAACACAGAATACAACACAAATCAAATGGGGGCAACGAGTGCAACGAATATACTCCACGCATTGACAAGACGAAGTATAGACAGAGAGGGGAAGGAGGGGGAAGGTCCAGAGGGGGAAACAGGACAGTAGACATATAGGAACAAAATTGCTGCTAGCACTCACCATAACGTTGCGACACACCAACGAACGCAAAACACAAACCGGCGAGCAGATCAACAAAAAACTCCACCAAAACCCAAATAAAAATTCCAGAGGACCAAATGTGTGACAAAAAACCCAACACATCATCTAGCGTCCAGCGTTACAGGGAGATAGATAGCCACAGAGAAAACACGTACAAGCGAGAGATTCGCATAAGCGTTTTTGTGTGTGACATTTATTGAGAACATCGCACCAACGAACGACACAAGGAATTCAATTTGAAGGCGATGTCAGTGACAAAAATCTCGCTAGCGGACTAGACGACGAACGAAAAAAAAAACCGAACCCATTGAAGCTCATTGAAATTTTAAGCGCGACCGTATAAAAATATTCTGTTTGGGAAAATAAAAGACATTTTGTCATTCACGTTTTTGCGATTGTGTTCGGCATATGAGGTGGGACGGTAGATTTAGTTTGTGATGGAAGATGTTACATTTCAAATTTGACCACAATTTTTTTATTTTTCCCTAGGATTTAGAAGAGATCTGGTATATTGTCGGGTTATTCTAAGATTTGTTTGAAGGGATCGCATTAAAATTTTGAAGAAGGATTCTTACCTTTGAAGCTGAATGGGGAAATTGGGCAAGGAAGGATGTTCAGTTCTAAGTGGTGCACCACTTATTTTTGCCTGATGTCTTTGGATAAATTTAAAAAAGGAGAGACGAAATGTTGTGCGAGCACTCACACCTTTAATATCATAAACAATTCATAAACTGACGATAGATTTATATTTCTTCTTATTTTGCCTCCTTTTATGCAGGATGCGCCTCAGTCGACCACTACCAAACATCTCGCGATTTTATATTTTTTTCACCACATTTGTCTTTTGACATTAAAAACGACGATGATGAACCAGAAGTATCACCTCAAAGTGAAATGATCTTGAAAATATCTGTACACAACGGACATCGATCCTGCAAGCCGTCCATCCCAGTTCATCTCCAAGCAAAGAGAAAAGAAGAGAGCTTCATTCGCAAAAAAAAACTGGTGTTTATTGCCACAACAAAGAATGAACAAAACAGAGACGGATTTTTTTGTTTGCGTTTCTCAGTTTGGGCAGATTTTTGTAGTTTTTGTTTAAGCGTTTCATCGTTAGCTCTTCTTCTGGCTATTTGATTTGGGGTGTCGTTCGGTGTGCTGCTAAGGAATATTTGAAGCGAGAAATGTTTAATACTGTCCAAAGTCGTCATGGAATTTTGTTTTCGCAACGCATTGCTTCCACACCACATCGCGTTGTCGATGTCGTTGAAGATCGATCGAAGCCTATCATTCCATCAAGTCAACAGGCGAAGCGATCGCGCGCTCACCCATGGCATACATTTTCAAGTCAAAGATCAGTCACTTAAGCGAGGAGGGAATCGATGAGTGAGTGACTGGCCGCTTACTCGACTGAATGATCTGATGTTAAGGTGGATCTTCGACGTTATCTAGATGCTGATGACTAGGATGACGATATTGATGATGTTGACGTTTTCGTGCTGCCAAAGTTGAGCTTGATTTTTTTGGCGTTTTTTGTGTGTTCGTTTGCCAATGGCTTTCCAAACTTTTTTCTGTGTCTCAGTTGTTGATGTTTATGAACTGTAAAACTGCACTAAAGAAGAGATGATGAATCGTTTGATTGGCCTGCATGGCCAAAAACGTCAAATCCAGTTGTGGTGTTTATTTTGGAGGGATGGATGGATGGATACTTCGATAGATGGTGGATGGATGGTTGAATGTTGGCTGGACTTTTGCATGGTTGCACGTGATACAATTATGGTCCTGTTTTTGCTAATTTCACATTTCTAAATATTTCTTTCTCCACCATATTTTTTTCTCTCTTCTGCTTCTTTTTCTTGTAGATCATAATGTTCGCGTCTGATTTGGGTGTTTTGAGTGATTTCGTTTTTTTCCTCTTGGCTTCCGTTTAAATTTATAAATCTGCGTAGCTGCGAAATATACGAGCTTGGAATATTTAACGCGATCTTGAATATTTCACATTTTTTTGTTGTTGTCTCCACAAATTGTCCAAATAAAAATTTGATTTAACAAAATGATGCTTATCATCATTGCTGGGGTTTTTTGTGGTTCTCGTCGTCGTCGTTGTTTCGATAAGTGTCATTGTTGTGTTACGCGGCAATTATTTGTGATCGAGCATTGGATGTGTAAGGAACACTTAATATAAGAAAATGTTTTCCAATGTTACCCTACCTACAATATTCCGCTATTAAATACTCGAGAAGGTTCTTCAATTTCTCTTCCCCACTAGAGGTTTTCCTATATGTTCTAAATGTGGAATCAGTGTATATATTAAACCTTCGTATCTCTCCATAAGACTATGACAAGAGTATTCCCGACCAGGCACAGCATTGACAACATATGATTGTTTTCGATGGTGTCATGAGGAGACAATCTGTTCCAGTTCTCAGGATAGTATTCATACCTATTCATACCTTTCACTGAGTATCAGTTATATTCGTAAACAAAACTGGCGCCCATAGCTAACTGACCACTGACCGGCCTATTACATTATTAGAAGTCAAGAAAGTATTTTTCTAAGCAATCCAAATGCTGCTGTCCTCGATTTGAGGACCTTGTTCTTACTTTCTAGCATACCACAAATAGCGAAGGCTTTCGCGGACTTACACCCAATATCTTGGGGTAGTTGGTGGTCAGAATCTCAGATGGAATCAACTTACAAGACCAGCTACCTTTATACTCTCACATGTGTCATTAATACGCCATGACCTACAATAATCCACATACATGAGGATTTCGATGCCGGTGTAGTAACAAAAATGTTGGGGTTGTGCAGTTCCGAAGGGATCATACCAAGATTGTAAAACGTTTAAAACACGACCGAAGATTGGTCTTATCTATGTCCTCGAAAAGATTGGCATGATTGACATCATCGAAGGTCCCACGATAGGTCAAGGGCTACTATGACTGTCCGGTTACGCGGTCTGTGCAAGTTCAGACATCCATTGTGGTCTATTGTGAAACTGCTTCTCATCGATGAAGCGTCTCAAATGCCTTAACTACTGGCAACAGAAGTAAAATTGTTTTAACCCAGAAACCATCTTGGATATGGTTTTAACAGATAAAACAGATCCAATATACGTGGCTTCTCTCTAATCCTGCGGGTACTCCAATATATAATGCCGCTCTCATGACAGAAATAAATTCCACGTACTCGTATTTGTGAGATGGCAGCTTCTGGTCGAAGTCTTGCTCGAATTTAGTGTGGTGCATAGAATCAGCAGGTCGGATTGTGCTAGCAGGAGGAAGAAATTTGTTATTACTTAGGAACTTAAACGCCAAATTAAAGCTACTACGGCTTGAAAATACGACTAAAACTTTCAAAATGTCCAAAATTGGGCTTTACCGGTACAATGGAGCTATGCTATGCCAAGCTATGCGGAAATGCCCCATTTCCAATACCACTCTAGGAATAATAACAATGTGTGATTTTCAAGCTCTTGTCATGAATATATACATATACTTTATGGGGTCTCAGGTAAATGCTTCGAGGTGTGACAGGGGAATGACAAATTGGGTGCCGCTTTTATATGGAAATGCATACAGATGGACCTATATATCCCAATTTTAGCCTTTCAAGGTCAAAAATGAAAGAAAAATTGTTACAAACACATTAACAACTTCGGCTAGATACCTTATTCGTAACTTGGCATTTCCCAAGCCACCGACTGCAACACCGCGCCACTATGGTAGTCCTTTAGCCGCCTTTTCTTGTGTAATATAAAAGTTCAAGCATTACCACAACAGCAACAACAACAAAAAAGGTGTTACTTCTATTGTTGTAATTCTTAATCAGCATCACCATCGTTTTCGCCAATTAGAACAAGAGTTCCCATGAGATTGAACGCCATTTAAGTGGTTCGGTTTGAGTTACGAGTGTTGGCAGCAACAGTTTGCCACCGCGGGAGCAGTAAATTGACTTAAACTTGACTTCAACGTGAAGTTCTTAGTTACGAAATGAAAGTGACAAAAGCCAAGCAGCCAAGCGCATTGGCCAGTCACCGATTGTGGCGAACGACGACGGCGACGACATTATTATAGTTACAGGTAACCATGATTTTGACCAAATTAGTGTGTTTTTTCATTCAGTTTCAGTTTGGTTCATCAGAACATGGGAAAAATTGTTACGATTCTTGGCAGTTTTTACATTTGTTTGCTGGTCAGATTACAGCGAACCACAGGAGCTGAAGAAGACGACAACGACGAATGGCCGCCAAGAAATACAGAAAGAAAAAATGAAACCAAACAAAAATTATTTCGCACCTCACAAGATCTGAAATATGTTCCCTAAATGGTAGTTGTTGGGTACGACGGGCAGGCATCACAACCAAGGCAAAGTCCGTTCGTTCGTTGGTCAACTCCAGCTCTCCTCTCTGAGGTTTTTCATCAACAACATGATCGATTATGAATTCTATACACGATTGTTGCACGCTGCGCCAGCAACACCATTGCAATTGGCTAAAACAAACAACCAAACAAATGTCAGTTGTGAAAGAGGAGGTGATGGGGGAATGAGGAGGAGGGTGGTGGGGGAATAGAATAGTCATACGAACGTACATAAGTATATTTTAGTTTAAAAACATAAAACTCACACCAATTTTTTTGTTCGTCATTCTCATTGCCAACTTCACCAGCCGTCCGTTCGTCCTCATCTTCAGCCTGTCTTGGTTTTTGTGAATCTTCATCATCTGTGGTTGCTGTTACTGTAATGAAATGAACATCAGATCAAGTGGTGGTCGGTTGACGGTTATTGTCGCTGCACAAAATATTGTCCAGCGTGTGTTAGTTGTTGGTTGGTGTTAATGTCTGTCTGTCTGTCGCTTTTTGCCTAGTCGCAGTTTGTTATTCTCGTGTATTAAGACTTGTTGACACTTCATTGGCGCGCGAGTTAATTAAAGACTACGTAAGCAAGGTAACCACCAACCATCAATCTAAAGCCATATATAAAATGTAGGTATATATGTGTGTGTATATATAGGTGGTACAGCAAGTGGTCAGGGAATGGGGATTGAGATTGCAATATTATTAAATGGAGGTAATAATTATATTTTTTGTTTATAAGTTAGATTTGAGTCGTTTATTTTGAAATTGGTTTAAGTCCATTTTTCTTATATTGAAGGGAAGCTGCACTGAGATAAACACTCTACATAGAAGACCTGTCGAATAGATTTTGTGTACAGAAATCCTTTTAAATTGAAGTCCTTTAGAAAATCTTCTGTCTACAGAAGTCTGTGAAAAAAAGCCAAACCCTGTAGAAGATCTTCAGTCAATATAGGACCTGTCTATAGAAGACCCATTAAACGGATTTATTCGGAGTCAGCGATATACTCTTCTTTTATTGCTGCGTGATTGTAATGGTATCCTTCACTACAGATGACATGGTGCGATCGCTTATTAGTAGGATACTAAGAACTTCCTTGGAAGGTAAACTCTGTATATATAGAGAACTGTGGAAGGTGTCTTATCCGAGGCTGCACTCGCCATCTTGATGCTAGAGCCCGCTTTGACCTCCTCAATCGATGAATTCTCTTTTTCTGTTTTATTCGGGTTTGGATGTTTTGGAGACCTAATCAAGTTTGTCGACTTTGAAGAAGAGTAGGAAAGGTCAGGATTATCGTTAGTGGCCACTGTCTGCTGTTCTGCTTCAGATAATTGTTAATTTTTTAATCGTCGGCGTGACAATATCTAACCTTTTCTAGAGTTTGAACCCCGCTTATCTCAGAAGGTTGCGTCGAGACTAATATTTCCTGATAGTTTTCGAATTGAACTCCACGTATGCCAGTTGGCAGAAACTAAGGTATCCATAGGGTCTATAGAAGACCTGTAGATGCCTTTAAAGACGTTAGTCTCCATAATGCCTATTTATAGTAGAACAAGAAGATCTTCCGAAAAGTATTTCTTCCAACATAATGTCATTACCACTCAATGACCGAATAACATAATTATTGCCACGTATGTAGCTGTTGATTTGCGGCAATATTTTTAGTGTCGTTTAATAGGTATCGCGTAGTCCATTGTTGATAGGTTTTCGTTTTATTTTTTTAACACTGCATCTTAACACGGGACTGGGATGGCAGACAGACAGACATAACGTGGTGTCTTTTGGCAAAAGTGATTCACTACTGCCAGCCGTGAGGACCACCAACTGTGCAGGCATTTACAAACTCACGGTGCATACTGGGCCATGCTTGACAATATGCCAAAGAGAGTGACTGTTTCCCAAGCTTCTGCAACGACGAGTGGTGGACGGACAAGCGGACATACAGATACCAAGTTTTGGACTTACAAATGACCAGGGCATGTTGTGGAGAGGTAAAGAGGGGGAAACTTTGTAACACTCTGCACATCTGACCACTCAGTCTAAGTTGTAAATTCTATATGGTTGTATTGTGTGAAATAAGTTTTGTCCATTGCTCAAGTATCGCATACCCGTTCGGTATGTGCAGCAATGCTGTTGGCTGGCTGGTAGCTGCTTGTGTATTTTTTCTTTCTGTGCTGGAATTTGGAATTTCATGCAGCCAACAATAACAAGAAACATAACACCATGGATCATGCGCAACATGAACGTCAACATCAGTCTCTGTAAATGGCAATTGGTTATTAAAAATTTACATAAAATTAAAACATTTAAACTGAGTTGGAGTTTTTCATATTCATTGCTTTTTTGTTATACTGCTGCTCCTCCCCTTTAACTCCTTTCTCGCTCCTTCTCTTTGGCGTATAAGTGAAAAATGAATGGCATAATGTTTAAATGGGCTGTGTCGCAGTGGTAGCAAGCAGCATGCATAACCATGATATGTATGGCAAGAAATTACATATCTCGTTACAGCCTCAACTACCAAATAATGATGTGGATCTGAGGTTGGGTTCGCATGGGGCTGGGATGGTGATCGTGATGATTACACTTCGGTGATTATTTTAATTCGTTTGTAATAAAGAGAGAATGTGTTAGCGAGGCTAGTAACTGGAAGAATTTGAAATGAGAGAAAGCTTATTAATTATAGTGTGAAGATCCGCAACCCTCAAATAATGTGTCATTTATTTTATTATAAAAAATTTAAGAGAATATATATTTTAATAACATAATTATTATGTATAGAAATAGGCCTATGAACAGAATATAGATCACGAAACCATCTAATTCCAAAGAAGATCTGTAGTCTTCTTTATATTAAAGATCAGTAGAACAAAACATGGACCTTCATTTAAGAAGACCGACATTTTATGCCCTCAAACTTCGGAGCATTTGATAGGGAAAATGTCTGCTGGTAGGTTGCTTACAACTTGAGAAAATTAAAAACCAAATTGCAGACACTAATGTTGGGAAACTGGGATCAGCTTTTCAACATATCGAAAATTGAGCAGGTCCTTTATATAAGTGTTTTAAAAATATGGACCTATATTGCAAAATGTATGAAAATAGACCTCTCTTTACCTAAGTCAAAACATTATCCTCTCCTCGAATCCAGCAGTCTTAGGTCGAAGATACTGCTAAAATCTTAAAAATGACAAAAACGGAATCAACCCCTGTTGATTTCTGCAAATATTTTTTCACTACCCCAGAACCACTTCGGTGGAACTACAAATTACAGTAACTTCGGTCCTTCAGAGTACCAAAAATGTTAAAGTGTTTTCAAAGATGTTTTTAACCCTCCTGGAGCCATTTCTATAAATGCGACAAGAATTGTAAAAGTATTAAAGGTACTGTTCGTGACTATAAAAACACGCGGATCGATCTTGACAAATTTCTGCGCAGTAGTTGTATCCCAAATAAGACTCAGAATGCCAAATTACTGTCACTTCTGTTGGAAAATCCACTGTAGACATTAAAAAAAAACTATAATATGGCGAGACTTTCATATTTTCTGCAAAAATGGTTTTCATCGTCCAATAACCCGGAACGCCGAATTAGAGTCTTGCCTGATTTAAATACGCCGAAAATCTTAAAAATTCAGAAAAATTCGGTCCGGTTATACGTGGACCTGTATTGAAAATTTTCTGCGAAGTCGTTTTGTATACATTAAGAACTCGAAATGTCAAATTTAAATCACTTCGGTTGGAAAAGGCTCTGGTCTCTCTTCATATGAGATTTTTTTTTTAAATGGGAACCCTTAATTAAAAATATGTGCAAGAAAGCAGAAAATTCAAAATTTAGAGTTTGAAAATACCCCTCTGACCCACAAAATACTGAAATGTGGCGCGATATGTATTAGCTTCCATATACAGGTCCCACCACATGTCAAAACCTATTTTTAATTCTCTAAAAACCGAAATGCCAAATTACAACCTATTCGGTGGGGAATATGCGGTTTTGGCCTTAAAAATATCGAATATGAAGCAGTACCTTTATAAGGGACCTAGGTCAAAACATGATTCTATATAGAAAATATTATGCAAAGATGTTTTTTCACACTCCAAGAACTTCGAAGACAATTGGAAAGGAAAGGTGCTATAACCATAATTTCCATTTAAAATAATTAACATATTAGGAGTAGTATCAATGTCTGTTCAAAATTTCTATCTTAAATATTTCTGTATCGTGTGTTCTGCAGACAACAATATTCGTAAACGTTGTGGGATCTCCGACGAATATTTCGATGTAGTTTTTTAAGGCCATTGTGTTCATGAAACTCACCTAAAAATGCTTAGCATTTTAATTTTGGCTCCCGTTGGTGCGTATAACTTATGTCGTTACTAATACGCCTTCACCACCAACTTATATTTTTCTACCCCACCCAATTTAAACAGCAATAATTTTCAACTCTTTTTGTTTTAATGTTTGGATTTAAGCATTTATTTTTCATAAAATGTCATTTCTTGTAATTTATTTACTTTTAAAACTACATCATTCATGCTACTTAAACTAACTAAACTAATTTTAAGAGAAAATACATAAATACGCTTATCAATATAAATTCCAAAAATCCTCAAGATCATTGGTCATAGCATAGCCATGTTGGAACTAAACTAAACGCTAGCAGACTAAAACGGAATACTCTTTGCAAAAAAATAAATTAAACAAGAAAACAGCTACCAACAAAATAACACGGAAAATTGGAGAATGGAAAGTCAAGATTCTTTGCTTTAATTCACTTCAAAATCAACTTCTCAATTGACCACTTCGACAGTTTCACAATTTTCCTCCGGGTCATTGTTGTTGCTATTGGCTGCGTGGGGAGGAGAACGATTTGTGGCCTCATCACAGCTATCTTCACCCACACAGCTGATGTGACTGCTGTTGCTGTGACTACTGCTGGCCGAGCAGATACTGATATTGCAGTCATCCTTTTTGTTGGGAGAGAGACGTAGAGCCCCCGAGGAGGAGTGGAGATTTTGTGAGCCACTGAGACACATTCGCTTCGTTTCGGGTTTCTTCAATAGCTCTTCAATGGAATAGGGATTGCGTTTACGACTATTTGTGTTGGTAGTGGTGGTGGTGGTATTGTTGTTGTTGTTGCACGATGATATGGAGGTGGAACTTAAATTAATGGTGGCCGGAGATGATTTGCCACTGTCACAATCACTGAGAGCATCTCCCGCCGAGGCTGTTGTCAAATCAATGGAGCTTTCGGATTTTGTATAGCCACCTCCATGCATAGAGGCGGGGAAGTAGGCGGCCGATGGAGACTGTCCTGGATGGCTGGCAGCATAGGGCAAAAATTGACTGGCTGCCTGCACATGTTGGGTGTAGTAGAGCAATGAAGGATTCCAAAACCAATGTTTCTGCAATGCCGCCGAATAGGAAAGATCTTGAGGTGTTAGCTGAGGGGTGGAGGTGGACGGAGTGGCTCCCAATCCAATCATGGGATGTTTTGGCGATGGCTTAATGGGATGTTCGGAGGATGTGGTTGGATGAGCAGCAGTTGGATTGGAAGCCGTCGGCATATTGACATCAGCATAACGGTAGGAGCTGGCCAAGGCCATGGCTTGTTGGGCATGTGCCGAGCGACTGTGTGGAAATCCTGCTGCAGCTTCGCTAACCGTTTGTGGCAAGTGATTTGAGGAAGTTGTGTAGAGTTGGTTGGGCAGAGAATAGGGTGCACTACTGCCGGTAGTTGCTGTGTGATTTCCGGAGGCTGCAGCAGCTGCGGCGGCGGCAGCAGCGTTCTGTTGATTTGAAGTCATTTCATCGGTCCACAGGCCACTGTTACGTAAAATACGATTTATCGAACTGATTGAGGGCACGGAGCTGGGATCACAGATGCGTTGTTGTTGTAATTGTTCACGTATCTCCCAGGCGAAGAGTCCGCTATTTTCTTCTTTCAGACGTATGATTTTCTTGACCACAGTGGGTGTTGCCACTTGCTGTAATGAAAGAGAAAGAGGGGTAGAGATTAGTATCATGGTTGGAAGGGGGTGTAAAGGGTTAGTAAAAAGTTTTCAACTTCCGTGCTAAAAACTTTGCGAGTTGCAAACAATTAAAAAGCGTGAAATTTCAATTGTGTTTTTATGTCAGCAATTTATGTGTGCGTGTGTTTAAAATGTCAGATTGAAATCAGTGACATGCAATATGTTTGCTGAGGTTTGTGGGGTTATTTGAGGGGAGTTTTGAAGTGCAGAGTTTCGTTTTTTAGCTTTCAACACCATGTACTGGAGAGTGATATAGCCAAATTTTTAGGTTTGTGGTTGTTTAGATAGAGCTGGATAAATATGTCCAAAACTTTTTCATAGATCTTGAATATTTTGAATTGAAAATTACCAATATTGGGTAATGTTTTTTACATCCAAACTTAAAAATTTCCTATTGAATCTTAAAATTATTTTCGTAGACAACAAAAAAAATCTGAGATTCCTTGGCGAAAATTATTGTTGTGTTCCCGCACAACAATCATGAAATCATTTCCAATTTAGAAAGAAAAAATATGTTTTAAAAATCAAAGCCCTTGCATGTTGTGGAACACAGCAAATTTTTAATATTTTGAAATGGTGTAGGTATAACACTTTCCTAAAGTAACTCTTTTTTGCGTCTCATTTGCATATCAACCTTGCTTTGTTCCTTTTCAGCAAGTGTCGGAATTGCTTTACAATTCAAACGCCCATTTCATGTAATGAATGAAGATATGATTGTTCTTTTTGAAAAGGAGTTTTTTTTTCCAAATTTTACAACTTACAGTGACCACATATCCTATAGAAGAACGAACACCTTCTTTAACCCTCAATGACGTGTGACTTGACAGTTCATTAAAAATTCATAAAATAAACGGAACTATTTACGGACGGACACACGATATGAAATGAAATTTTACTTGAAAGAAAAAGGCGAACAACAAACACAAAAGTGGTAGTTCCGTGTGTGTGTGCCTTGAGATCTCTATCAACACGAAATTACAACAAAACACGCCAACACTAGAAAGTAACCTGAAGTACCTCTAACTCAATTGTTCATAGATGGATGGATATACATATGGGCATTATTTAAACACACACACACACATGCCCACCGAAAGAGGATTTAACACCTCACGTTTTGTTCTCTAAAAAAAAATAATTCGAAAAAATCTCGATAAGGCAACTAACATTGTTGTTGTTGTACGTTTAACAAAAAAAGTGGGTGTTTATGTGACGATTGATTTTGTTTTTGTGTACCTTTCGAACGTGTGCTATTATTTGTATGGGTTGAGTTCTAGCTTGCCTTGTGTGTTTACAAAGTGTGAATCCAAAACCTTTAATTTTTTATTAATTATCAACCAAATGATTGATTAACCATTAAATGACAACACAAAATTTATTTAACCAAACAGTATTTGGTTAAGGGTTAATTAGCAGGATGGTTACCAGGGATGATTGCAGTGTGGTTAGAATTTGGTTAAAAAAAGGAAAAAGGTTAAAAGGGTCGGAGGATACAAGTGAACTACATTCTGAACAAGTTTTTTAAAATAGAATGTAGTTAAAATAAAAATTAAAAAATCCAAATTTCTAGTTCAAATTGTTTCCTTAAAAATTTACCCTTCTAGACCTGATTGAAATTTAAATATCTTTTTTTCCTAAAAATTATTGCTTGTATTTAAATTGTTTATTCTTGTTTTCAGGCATGCTGAATTCCGAAAAAGGTAACTCCCTGTTCTTATTAATTTGTGCATAATGCAAAACATTTTTAGAAATCATTTCCGATATATATTTTACGGACATGCAAAAATCGTAACACGTAATAAAATGTACCCTCTTATCTAACTGCTACCAGTTTTTGTTTTGTTTGTATGGTTACTTATTATAACAACGCAATGATAATGTCTCTAAATCAGCACAACCAGCTAATGAACCTCGGTAGTTGCCCGGTAGCTGCAAACCATAAAGTTGGCATTTTGTGGAGATTATTTTCATGACCATAAATTAAAGGTTTCTGATTGATGTTCTAGAGAAATTGGACACTGTTTGGTTTGGGGGAGCCCCAAATGGTTACAGTTAATGCCAACGACACCACAGCAGGGCCCTGAGAAATTCCTTGACATAGAACACATGACGGTCTCGGCAGTCAGTGCACCACAACCCAAACTCCTGCCAATACTGAACTGATATCTTTGATTGGTAATGTTAGATTTCCTGGTTTTATGTTCCATATATATTTACTGCAATAGTTGTTGTTGTCGATATCACAAATTTAATATAAAACTAATATCTGGGGCATAGCGAAGAGTTTGAGATTGATTTGTAATGGTTACTGATTGCCATGTTTAACACCCCTAACAGATAACAACTGGGGAACTGCGAAGGAGGGAGCTAGTGCTGGAGTGTGAAGGGAATTTAATGTTATGCGTAGTGATTTGTTTTCTAGCTGTTCTATATGTTTTACCAGATTTTTTACATATCAGGTCATGTAATTCCCCCACCCCCGACAATAACAATAAAACATGTAGATTGACATTCGAGTAAATATTGATTTTAACCACACAAAGTGTCAAGTGTTAATGTTATTGTTGTTGTTACTATTTTATGGCATAATGATAACCAAGTACTATTCATAAATAGTCTAGCATTAAGGTTACATATGAAACTTACCTTAGTTTTACTACCACCAATTGAACCAGGACGTATGGATCCGGTTTCATAGAAACGTGTTAGGATTTTGGAAACACAGCCTGAAAGAAAAAATAAAAAATTATTTTATAATTAATTGAAATTCTTGGAGACAAAATTTTTTAAAAATGAAATCGAATTTTTTGTTTTTGCTTAACTTACCATGTGACACCAAAAGCTGCCTCGATATATCACAGGGTCTAACGCCACATAGAGCTAATTCCACAATACGCCTTCGTACACAATCTGGTAGAGGACGGCCATTTACAAATACTCCACCCAGTTGATTCACACCGGCTTGACCTGAAATAGAGAAACATAGTTTATAAATACACAAAAAAAAATAGGAAAAATAGGTTATGGTCTGCAGGACCTGATAGGCGGAATTCAATCCAGAAAAAATAGTTTCTTAAAATATACCCCCGAAAGGCTTGGGTTTCAGATAAATCCATATAGCTTCTCAAAGAGGTCTGAGTCCTAGTAAAACTATTTTTTAAAATACCACTAAAAAGAAAATATATTCTCATAGAAATTTTCTCCATTATTCCTCAATGCCTCTCTTAATGGCCACCTTCAAAAACTCAAAATATTAAAACAAAAAAATTGCCTGGCACAAAAACTCATTTTTGGATACCAGAGAGTATTTAATCGTAAAAAATAATAACCGTGAAACGAAATTGCCTTTGTTAACGCCGTCGTCGTTGTTGTTCTTTGCTGTGGCGGTAGATATTCATTCGTGTGTGGTTGTGGAGACATAGCCACAACATACATACGAATATATTGGCCATTATGAAACTGGTCTTGGTCGGTATTTAATTTTTTCATTGAGTTTATCATAAAAAAAGTTAATATTTCCCCTTTCATTTGGTGTTGCGTGTGAGTATGGAAAGGAGTCATAAAATTAGTGGCTCTGTAGTGTTTTTTGTGGACCAAAACAATTAAAGAATTACATGGTCTTTTAAGTACAGAGGTAATTATAGGTTGTAATGGTTCTCCATCCCTACATCTCCGAAAAGATGCTGTAAGCAAAAAAACCCAGAGGTACTCCTACACACATGCCGATGAAGGCTGGTGTATAAGTAGCATTTTGTGTAACGGTGTTTAAATGTTTTTTTTTATGGTTAAGGGGAGCCAAGATTGAAATAAATCTCAAATCGCCTTGCATATTTTTTTCTTCGTAATATGAATGATCAAAATTAAGCCACAATGCTGCAGTGAAGTCAGGGCAGACTGAGGCGTTTATCTTTTGTTTTGTTGTTTTTTTTTTTTTTTATTTTTTATTTGTTGTAATAAAAATTAAATTGAAATGGTTACAATGGCGTCATTATTGGCCCCTTTTATTATTTCCCCAACCACCACCCTTCCCTACTCGAACAGTTTCTTTGGGCTTACCTGTATGCGGCATTATGCACTGTATTGTTGTTGTTGTTGCTGCTGTTGTGTTCTTTGGAGCCTGTAAACGCGAGCGTTACGTTTTAATGAGACGTCAACAGTCGTCTAATCACAGCTATGGTATCTCCAAAGTCCAGTGAGAGTATTTTGGAAGCTATAAAACGCACACACACACACTTGTGCACACGCGTAGCAAAGTAAAGCAAATCAACTGTAGCTGTTTGCTTGAATTTTTATGAGCGTTAACTCCGTCGTCTGCCGTTATACGCTATTCGGTTGTTTCTTTCGTTAGTTAGTCCAAGGATAGAATGTCTTGGGGCGATGACGACGACGACGACCACAGCGACAAAGATGATGGGCTTGGGGGTTAGTGAATGGATGACTGACTGGATAGATGGATTACGATGCTTAAAACTGGATTGCGTTGACGATTTGTGTGAGCGTTAGCGTATTTTATGTTTACGTTGGTGTTGAATTTTTATGCCGTTCTATTCCACGAATTTACGGTGTTAATGACTGAAATTAAATCATGAAAGAAAAGTCAAAACATTAACAAAAAAATTAAATTAATTCAGTTAGAAGTAAATGTTTATAAAATTTTTGTATTTTTAGATCTGAGCAAGAATATAAAAGTTAAACGTTTTTTTGTTGGAAATCGAAAACTTACAAGCAATTCGATTAAAAATCAATAATAATGGTAATATAAACGTTTGTTAAGATAGATATGAACCATTCCATGATAGTTTTGGATATTTATTTCGAAGAACCCATTAAGATCTTCTCAAAGATCTGTTCGGGGTTAATTTTTTCATTAGAAGAAAACAAATCGCAGGATCGAATCGTAGATCGAAGTTTTTGTCTAAAGAAAAAAATCACAGGACCTCAGGTCGAAGTTTTTTATAGAATAAATTTCACTGGACCTAAGGTCCAAGTTTTTTCCAATAGAAAATAATTCACAGGACCTCAAGTCCAATTTTTTACAGAAAAATCACAGGACATCAGGTCCAAGTTTTTCTATAAAAAAAAAACACAAGACTTCTGATTCAAATATTTTAAATAGAAAAAAGGTCACAGAGCCTCAGGTCCATGTTTTTTTTGTTTTTCCTACAGAAAAAATCACATGACCTCAGCTATAGAAAAAAAACACAGACCTCTGGTTCCAGTTTAAAAAAAAAAAATCCAACACCTAAGGTCCCAGTTTTTTCTATAGACAAAATTAACAAGACCTCAAGTTACATTTTTTCAGTAATTCAGTTCCATTTTTAAGAAAATAAAGTTCCGACCCCTTAGAGGAAATCATAATATCTAAACCCACCCAAGTCCCTTCTAAATAAATCTAAAAGAAAATATATTTAATTTATAACCTGAACTAACTTAAATGAATTCTTTTCTGCATTGCATGTCGTTGATGGTGGCAATAAAAATGAAGTGGGCAAATTATGCAAATTCACAAGTCCAACACATGACCACCAAAAAAAAAAATGCCAAAAGACCACAAAGCTCATGTTAATTTTTCGGTGGCTACCAAATCTCAACTCCTCTCTCTCACTACTTATTTCAAGGAAAAAAAGGACATTTGGAAATGACCAAAAATGTTCAAGATATGCAAACTTGAAATTCTCTCGTTCATGAAAGCCAACCGAATTACTTCCGTTTCCGTTCCCCTTTTTGAATGGTTTTATTGTGCAACGCCTGTCAACATGCATGAAAATCCTATAAATTGTATTTTTTATTTTTCTTTTTTTCCTACATTTCCAAATTCAAATCAGTCATACGCCTCCACGCCATAGACAGCTGTTTGGCCTTCCAAACAAAAAAAAAATCTACCATTAAAGGTCAGCGTAGAAAAACTCCGTTAAGATTTCGTTTTTCAGGTTATAAATAGTTAATATAAAACGCAAAATGAACAGTTTTCCTTCCCCTGCCGTACGCTCTAGCTTGGTTTTTGATACCCCCGCTCAACACTTCATATCAAGTGGGCTTATTAATAGCCTTTAGCCGACCGGCCAGCCAGTTAGCGTCATAGCAAATGTGTGTATTTAACTACAACAATGCCTGGCAATTAAGTTGTACAAACCCCTCATTTATGTTTTCACACAAAGTAGCTGCCACTTATTTTCACGAGTAGGACTCTTTTATGTCCTTGTGGTAGGGTAAACATGTAGGTATGTATGTGTGTGTGTTTTTCGGTGAATTCCTGTTATCCACTTGTTTGTGCTTAAGCATGTAAATTAAGTCCTATTACAATTTTGTTAATAGTTAATTAAATGCATTTGGATTACATGTTCGTTGTTCGGAAAATTAGTGGGTTCAAAGGGAAAGCAATGCACAGAATATAAGATCAAATTTTTCTGTATAAAAAAATCGAAAGACTTCAGGTACAATTATTTCGCAAGATTTCAATTCTCTTTATCATTAAAAAATTCATTGAAACTCAGAAATCCTCAGGTCCTTAACTTTTTGGTATAATTTTTGGTATAAAAGAAAAAAAAAATTATTTGCAGAAAAATTTCAAATCAGAAAAAAAATCACAAGAACTTGGGTCTAACGTTTTCTATAAAAAAACAATTCACAAGAACATAGGTCCAACATTTTTTTCTATAAACAAATTCAGAAGACCTAGGTTCATTTAAAGAAAATTGGAAGACCTCTGGTACGACTGTTTACTATAGAAAAATTCAGATAACCTCTGTTTTATTTTTTTTTTCTATAGAATAAAATTCAGAAGACCTCAGGTCCAAGTCTTCTCCACAGAAACAAAAATTGAGAAGACCTCAGGTTTCTTCTATAGAAATAAATTCAGAAGATTTCAGGTCCAATTTTTTTCTATAGAAGAAATCACAAGACCTAAGCCCAATTAAAGAAAATCACAAGACCTCAGGTACGACTGTTTTCCATGTTTTTTTTTTTATAGAAAAAATTACAGGACCTCAGGTCCAAGTTTTTTTTTTCGAATAAAAACTAAATATAATATAATCATAATTCTGAGAGTATATAATAGGATATAACATGACACGCTTATACCATTATAGCTTGCAGTTTTTTTATTTGATTAAAACTAATCGAAATAATAGCTTTGTCGGAAACATCACTTGTTTTGTTGTCATTATTTTTTTTTTAATATTGAAAATAAATTTTATTTGTATATATTTTTCGAACATCAAAATTTATGATTTTCGAAATTCCCACGATATTTAAAAGCAAGAAAATGCAAATAGTCGATTGTGAAAGAGGAAGAAAATAACGTACTTATGATTTACCAATACAAAAAAGAAAACAACAACAAAACCCATAAACAATATAATTTTATGATATATGTAAATGTGCTTTGTTTTTTGGAGACTAACTGTTGTCAATCTACTTCTAAATACAAATCATATGCAAAACACATGCAAGAGCAAAATACAAAAATAATGTAGACCTTTTGATTTGTTTCGAACTCCAAAGTAAACGATATTTTTAAGAAGAAGAAAAAATATATTTTTGTATTTAATGATTAACAAAAAACGGGCTAGCGAAAAAAGTAGAGATTAACAAACATTTTCAAACAACACGAAATCAGTTCCACTTTTATTGTTAATTAAGTCGTTCCACAATAATCATCAATGGCCCAGGCGGTCGAGATCAACCGACCGAAAAACGAAAGACAACAAAAGAAGAAAGCCAAACAACGGTTCGTGGTTAACATCTGTGACAATCCAAGCCATCCCAGCTACCCAGCTGCTGTATCTTCGAAACTTTTAATCCAATACCCCCAGACATTGGGTATATTCAAATTAGTTAATCAATCCAATAAATAATTATATGAAAATTGATTTTTATTATCCGTAGTCGGTGAACGGTGAATAGCCACTGTTCGTTCTCCACCCCACTCACTCTTTTGTTTAATACACTTGCTTGCTATTATCTCTAAATGTTATGGGGTTAATGTTAATAGATAACAAAAAATATTTTTGGGGGGATCAAAGCCGTCGGCTTTTCAAAACAAAAAAAGAGACCGAAGAGTAGCCAAAACAGAAGCCAAAGTTTTCCGTAAACTAAAACAGCGGGTCTTAAACAATTCAATGCATTTGTTTTACAATATTGTGATGTTTCCACGGCAATATCTTACGCTTATTCGGTCGATCGATCGATTGTTCGTTCGGCTTTGTTTCGGGTTTTCTTTTTCAATTCAATATTTTACTAATTGATATATCGGTAAGGCTGATTTGCATATTGTATGGTCGTTTGTTGTTGTCATCGGCATCATCACCGTCACGTTAATCTAGATGTATCGTTAAGTGTAACAGGAAATATGTAAACGTGAAATGTGATCGTAGGTATTGGGATGGATCGAAATTAAATGCGATAAAGATATACAAAAACTCGGGAAGAGAGGAAACTTCCTTCTAAGATTTCCTTTAGAGCTCTAAATATGAGGTTGCCCTCGAAATATTTTGAATGTGTATAAAATTAGACGAATATCGTTTTGAAGTAAAATATTAAGCTGTCAAGTAATAAAGTTGATACATTTCACCCTAATTTAACCCCTAATACAGTCTAAATAACTTTTAACGACAGTTAAGAGACTGGCAAAATTAGTGTGTAAAATGGGCCTGGTTCTTAGCAACGATCGATTGTGATCGATTTTCCTGACATTTGAATATAGTTGTTAAGAACCAGGCCCATATTTCTGCAGAAAAAATCAATAGAAAAACAAGTAATTTTTCCTATAAAAAACACAGGTCTAGAATTCGAAGTTCTAATATTTTTTGTCGGAAAATGACTATTATATTTTTTTTTATAAAGAATCAGAGGTCCACAGTTGACATTTTTTTATAAAAAAAAAAAAAAATCTAAAATCTATTTATTTCTAAGAAATAGCTGAGACTGGATTTATTTTATATTCGTTTTGAAAAATCAAAAATATTCCACCCTAATATAGTAACATAATTGAACTACTAATCTAATATATTTTTACAAATGAAGCCAACCCCTTCCAGCCGAACCTAATACACCTAATTCGAACTTCTA